TGAGAGAGCCTCAGAGCCCTCAGCAATCCTGCCAGCAACCCACAGGCTGCAGGACACAGACGGTGCTTCCTGGCTGGGAGAAGCCTCGTGCCCATCTCCAGGCACCACAATCACAGCGATCCCCACAGCTCCAGCCCCTGCCCAGCTCCTCTGTGGGCAGCGTTAAGGCTTCAGCAGAAGCACCAAAGGCCGAGGGCCTTCTGGCCATTTTCCCTTCCCCACTGCACGCCTGGGCAGCTTGCTGAGCACAAGCACCCTTTTCCCCTCTCCCCCTATGCCCTGCGCACACTGGGCACCAGAGAAAGCACCTGAGACACTGGGTATGAGAACACATTCTATATTTCTATATATAATTCTATATCTATATTCTATATATTTCTAATTCTATATTTCTATATTAAAGAAGAACAAAGAAGAAGGAAAAAAAAAAACCATCTTAAAGAAAATTCCTGCCTGGCTCAGATGGCCCCGGCAGACAGAGAGCCTCTCAATTTAGCTCTCCTCAGAGCTCCAGCAGCACAGCCAGCCACGGGCCCACAGACAAGGGCGGTTCTTGCGTGCCCTGCGGAATCCATCTTGCCACTTCTGCAAGATGGAGCCTTGAGCTGCCCGGAGGACAAAGGCTGTTTCCAGAGCCAGCCTTCTGATGGCAGGGCTGATGTCCTGTGCCTTGTCATCAAGGGCTGCAAGAGAGAGGAACAGAGCCATGGTCAGATCTGCATCTGCAGGGACCCGAGGAGAGCCCCGTGCAAGGGCCAACGCAGGTGGCTCTGGCCATGGCCAGGAGGGAGCAGGGACCAAAGGGATCAGCCCAAAGCCACTGGACACTATTGGCACTCGTGCCCCTGAAATCTCTGTGTGTGCCCTGGCCACACCAGGCCTGGTCCGCACAGGGAGCAGAGCCCTCGGCAGCCGGGGCAGGGATTGCAGCTCCCCTTGGCAGCCGGGGCTGGCAGCCCGCTGCCCTCACTCACCCTGACAGATGCTCTGGAGCTCTCGTTTGTTCCCCCGGAGGTGCTGCCCGGCCATCCCTGGGAACACAGAGCCTGTCAGGGTCCCAGCAGCACAGCTCCCTGCCAGCGGCGCTGCCAGCCCTGGGGCCACACGGCCTCCTGCCCCGGCAGGGCTCAGCCCCGGCCCTTGCCGCATCCTGACTCAGCCCAAGGGCCCGGCTGCCAGAGGCCGGCAGCAGCAGCCCCGAGGGCAGCCGGGGCTCCAGGGCCGGGGCAGCAGCCGGGGCTGGGGCCGAGCTGCGGCGGGGCAGGGAGGGAGCCCAGCCCGGTTCGTGGCTCACCAATGAACCTGATGGCCGCCGCTCGCAGGGACTCCTGCGGGCTGTCCAGGTACAGCAGGGCCCGGTGCAGGTGCTCAGCCGCTCGGCTCCTGTCCTGTGCCAGCTGCAGAGAGCGGCGGGAGGGAAGGGTTGGTGCGGGCTCTGCCCCTCGGCCGGGCACTGCTGCCTGCGGCCAGCCCCGGCCTCCCGTGCCCGCCCAGCCCTGAGGCACCGGGCAGCAGCCGCTGGCGCCGGGCTCTGGAGGGGGCAGAGGGCCGGCTGCTGCCCGGGGAGCCGCGCTGCTGCCCTGCCCGACAGAGCAGCGGTGCCGGGGCTCCATGGGCACACGGCTCGGGGCCACAGGGGGCTGGAGTAGAGCCCGCGGGGCCCAGGGAAGGGAGCAGCGTGTGGGGCACAGGCTGGCGGCCCTGGGTGCGGCACTGGGCAGGGCACAGCTGCCAGCCGCACACACTGAGCTTCTCCAGCCTGGGGCTGGGGCTTCCAGCCCGCCCTTACCAGGCCCTCGCCGAACCTCCAGGTCTGATCCACCCGCAGCATCTGCTGGAGATCCTTCCTCTTCAGGAATCGGGCGGAACAGAGCAGCGTTTCCCGGGAGGCCTGGAGAGCAGCAGAGACCCAGAGATGGCACCACAGCCCAGGGCACAGGACCCACGTCCCTGGACCAAGACCGGGAGGGAGCTGCAGCCTGCGAGGCAGCAGAGCAGGAGGCAGCCGAGCGCCCTGCCAGGGAGCCACGGCAGCTGCCGAGTCCTCACATCAACCACGCGCTGGTTCTCATCATGGCAGTGCAAGGAGAGTGGGAGCAGGCTCTGCTGCACGTGGGACTTCAGGGCCTTTTTCCCCTCCTTTGGTACTAAATCCATCATCTCCTGGAAGATGAACATGGAGCACAGCTGCACCTGGCTATCCTCCTGTTCGAAAGGAAGAAATAAAGACCTCAGCATCAGCTGCTTCAGGCCCACCTGGGCACAGGCCTGCAAATGCCCAGGGCACAATGCCCAGGCAGCAGCCATGGCTGGAGACACAGAGCCTTACATTGTCAAAGAGCGGCAGGAGCGCCTCAGCCAGCTGCAGGCCGAGGGGGATGGTTATCGGGCCACCATTGTACAGGAACAAACGGCTGAGGAGAGCGATGCTCATCCCAAGCACATGGCTGTCATTTTCCCCCAGGAGCTCCACGAGCCTTTCATGCAGGCTCCACATTCTTTTGGCCTGTGTGGAACACAAGTGTGTGAAATGCCACCCTGCTGCCACAGGGCCCAGAGGCCAAAGGCCTGTGCCAAAGGCCTGGGGCAGGAGGCAAGAGGCAGGAGGCAGGAGAGCTGGCAGCAGCTGCCTCAGTGCCCAAAGGCCAACCAAGCGCAAGCCACTGCCTTCCCCAGCCCCACGCCGGCAGCCGCTGCCCCCTTCTCACCATGGAGGAATTCTTGCCGAGCACCACAAGGCCTCTGAGTGCCAAGCGACGCCTCTCCCTGCACTCGCTCTGCAGTTTGCTTGATGCGATCTCCAGGACGCTGTCACGGTATTCACTCGAGTCCAGGCACTCCAACATCTGAAGGGCACAGGCCGGTGATGGGGCAGCAGCGCACAGGGCTGGGCCCAGGCAGCAGCACAGGGCGTGGGCACCGTCCCGGGCGGCTGCGGCACCGAGAGGGCAGAGAGCTGGGAGACAGCTCAGCGAGACAGCGCTGCCCTTCAGGCTCACCTCCACAAGGAACGCCATGGCGGCCAAATCCCCGTGTGCCGTGTCTTTGCTGAGCAGCCCGAGCAGGTAGAATGCAATCGCAGAACACAAGGGCAGGGACACGTGACGCATTGCTCTGACGGGAGGAAAAAGGAACCAAGACCCTGAGCCAGCGGGACAAACCTCTCCATGGACTGACTCCCAGGAGGAGCTTGGCCCTTCTCCACCACCCTGCAAGGGGACCCAGGCCCTTTGGGAAGCAGCTGCTCTTGGGCACCCTCCTCTCCCAGGCTTGTGCAGTGTCCTTGGCCATCCCTTGGTGACAAGGCCCTCTGGCCCCTGACCACGGGGACTGTGTGGGGCACCCCAGGCACGGGGCACAAGCGCTGTTTGGTGGCAGCTCACCTGGCCAGCACACCCACAGCACAGTGGTGCGTGCCAGCACACAGCAGCGTGTCCCAGCCACACTCGTCTTCCACTGCCGCCACCACATCCTCATAGTGCAGTCGGCAGAGCAGGGCCTTCAGGGTCTGCACTGCAAACCTGTGTGCACGGCAAAGCCCAGGTGATGCTGGGAGCACGGGCTGCTGCCCTGGGGACATGGCAGGGACAGGAGGACTGGCATGGAGCACCTGTTGGGGCTGATGGCAAGGCCGTGTTGCTGCTGGCATCTCTTCCAGAAAGTATCGACCTTCTCTGGCAGATCCAATGTGCTGAACAGCACTTGCAAGAGCAGATGCACCAAGAGACGGGGGAAATACACTGTCACTGCATGTGGGACACAGGGCAGCTGGAGTATCTTCCATATCACCACAGTTGCCTGCGAAGGACAGAGCAGCCTGAGTCAGTGCTCAGTGCCCAGGTGTCCATGTGGCAGGGCCCGAGCGTGGCAGGGAGAGGCCAGTGGAGATGTAGGGACAGCAGCCGGCCTGGTGGCCCTGGAGCTGCTCCTAGGCCAGGTTTGAGCCCAGTGCCTGAGGCAGGGAGATGCCATGGGAGGAGGGAGGATGGAGACCTGAGGGACAGGTGACCTTGGGGTGAGCAAAGGTCAGTTGCAGAAACTCACAGCCAGGGCAAGGACAGCCGTGTGGTCCCCGTCGGAGGTGCACATGCTGAGCTCTGGCCAGGTGCCCAGCACATCCAGGAGTATCAGCATGGCCGGCTCTGCAGCCCTGCACGAGCACATGATGCTCTTCCACATGGTGGTAGCAGCTCTGTGGGGACAGAGTTCTGTGTCAGGGGGGTCTGGGACACATCCCCGTGGCCTGGGCAGCAGCAGGGAGCTGAGCTGGCTGCCAGCCCTGCCTCTGCCCACTGCCCCTCTGTGGCAGCCCAGCCCTGTGGGGACTGGCCCCTGAGGGCAGCAGGCTCGGGGGCTGCTGTGCCAGGGCTGACAAAGGGAGGAGCCACAGGGCCCCGGAATCCTCTGTTTGTCAGACACCTGGGCCAGGTGTGCAGGGGGATGCCCTGAGCCCTCTGGGCACGTGGGCCCTGTACCTGTCACACCATGGGGCCACACGCAGGAGAGCCATCACCACGTCAGCAGGCTGTGCCTCTGTCAGATCCAGAAGGGGCCTGTACAGATTGTACTCGGGAAACTCATTAGCCTTGAGCCACTGGTGGATGAACCTCACCATGGGGAGCACCTGGAGAAGGCACAGGGAAACTTGGAAAGCTGCCAGCAGGAGTAATGTGCCCAGCTTCCCAGAGAAGTGCTTCCCTTCCCACCGCACTGCCACGGCCTCAAAGGCTCGCAGTGAGCAGCTGGCGTGGCCAAGCAATTCCTGGGAGGATCGAAGCCAGGCCACAGGCTGCTTACTTGCTTTGGACTGGAAGGACCCTCCTCCACAAGCATGTCCAGCAGGGCAGCACTGGTCTTGGTTTTGAAGATGGGAGAGTATGCTCTGACCACAGTGCCTATGGCACTGGTCTCTTCCTCCCGAATTCTCTTCATGAATTTGCAAATCATCTGCAGCAGAAGGGCAAGAAATGAGGGACATTGCATGGAGTGCTCCAAGCGTGGTGCTGGGCTGAGCAGGGACAGCAGGCCCAGCCCAGGGGGGGATGGCTGCAGGTACCTGCGCTGTTGTGCGGAAGAGGCCACGGCTGCGTTCCTGCTCTCGAGTGCGCTCCATGGCTGCTCCTGGCAAAGAGCGAGCGCAGCTTGAGCTGAGGGGCTGCGGGAGAGGCTGGAGAACACAGCCCAGCCCTGCACTCCCCAGGCAGGGACAGCCCCAGGAGGCCCCAGGGCACAGAGTACAGCTCCAGGGTGTCTGCCCCAGCCCCACTTCTGTCCTGTCCATGGGCGTGTCCCCGGGGGATGGGATGGGATGGGATGGGATGGGATGGGATGGGATGGGGCAAGGCCAAGCTGGCTGCAGGCCCAGGTCTGCCGCTCACCCTGCTGCGGTGGCTGAAATTGCTCCAGCTCTCCAGGCTGCTGTGCTGGGGCAGTCCCAGGGCCTTCTTTCTCCTCCTTCACCCAGGTCATCTTGGGGACACTCGGAGGTCTCTGCTCAACATCACTGCCTGGATTCATGGCTACTTGCAGCAGAGGTGGCTCGGAAAAGGTCTGAGTTGGCAAGTCCTGCAGCTGTGCCTGGAAGGCACCTGCAGGAGTGAAGTCTTGGCAAGGCTGCAGGACAGCCAGTCCTGCACTTGGGTCTCAGGGGCTCGTGCCACAAGGACAGGAGACTCGTTCGTCAAGGACCGTGGTGAGGAAATGCCACGGTCTGGGCTCGAGCACACCTGAGAAGTGTGGTGCTTCACCTCACCAGAAGTGAAGCCTCGGGAAGGCTGCAGGTCACCGAGTGCTGTGGTCTGGCCTCGAGGTGACCTGCAGGAGTAACGCCTCAGAAAGGCTCTGGGTCAGCAAGGAATGAGTGTGCCGTGCGGGGGCTCCTCACAGCACCACTCTGTCCCGTCCTGCCCTGTCACGTGCACCAGGCACTGTGGTGTGGCTGTGTCACCGCCAACACTAATGTCACCCCATGTCACAAAGGGCCCTTGGACACCCTGTCCCGTTCCATTCCACGGTTACCATGCTGCACCGTGTCACCAAGGGCCGTTGCACACGCTGCCCCCTGCCCTGGGGCTCCACCCAGCCCGGCCAAAGTGGCCCAGCTTGGAAGCAATGCCTTGGCCCAAGTGTCTCAGACAGCCCAACAGGATCTTTAGGAACAGCTCAAACCATCAGCAAAGGCTGCCCTGCTCTGTGGGCTCAGGGCAGCAGAAGGAGCCCCCTGGGCTGCCGAGGCAGCCGTGGCGGGAAGGGCGCGGGGCCCTCCACAGAAGCTGTCACGGCCTCCTTGGGACATGTCCCGCCTGGTGGCCATCCTAAACGTGGCGGTGTGACACAGACCAGGAACGTGTGGGCCAGGGCCCGAGTGCTGTTCTGACCCCACTGAAATCAGCAGGGGTGTCAGAATCCTTGCCAAAGCAGGCCTGCCACCCCCCGAGCCCTGGCAGCGCTGGTGCCCATCTCCTGCCCCAGAGACCTGTGCCTTGGGGGGGCTTCTGTGCCAGAGGGCAGCCAAAGCCAACGTGCATTGGGGGCTGTGCTCCATCCTACAGGGACTGTTGGCCAGAGCACCTGGAACAACTGGTGGCAACACTTGGGATGTGTCAGATGATGTTGCTCCTTCCTGGAATGTTGTTTTTCGTGGAAGGGATTAGCAGTAGCACAAAAACACCAACAGCTACTGAATTTCGCTGGACAAAGAGACTCCACAGAGATGCTGTCATGTATCCTTGTGCCTTTCTGTCTTTCTTGCATTTTGGAAGAAAAAGAATTGGCCCAGCCTCTGCTGCAGTTGCTGTGTGTCTGCCTGTGGCAGCTCATGTGCAAACACAGCTGGCGGCCTGCTGAGCACGGCAATGGACGGCCACAAACAGGGAGGTCCCCAGTGAACATCGAGGCAGACACCTGGGGAAGTGCAGAGCATAGGGATAACTGTGGGAACAGAAGCTGGTCTGTGTCTCTGATCATGGTGCTGATGCCCTAAAGCTGGGCAAGAAAACAGTACTCCATGGTATAAAGGCCTATAGAGCAGGTATTTATTTATTTGATGCTGGGAGGGAGTGGCATAGCTTCAGCACAAACTCACTCCTCCATTCTTCACACAGTACTACCTTTTATACATTTTTTTAACTTAATGTTCACATTATA